GACAATTAAGGTGTAAGGTTTGATTAACTAATAGGCCGGATCACTTAGCCAAAATCCCTTCCTTGTATTAGCTAGCTAGGCCTAAAAATAATTTTACTAATAGTATTACTTTTTTTAGTAATTTGTAAAGATAAATTTATGTACTACCAAATTCGATTAATTTTCTAATTACTTTTCTCTTGTTTTTTCCACTGAATAATAACTATTATATTTTTAGTGTTATTAGATCAAACGTCATAGTAAAGAGAGGAAGTTTCAAGTATCTTGAGTCTATTATTTAAGAAAATGGAGAGATTCATGATAAATATCTTACACTGTATTACTGTTGGGTGAATTAATGTGATGAAAACATGCATTCAGAGTCTTGTTTGATGAGAAAACTATTATATATCGCATTGTTTCTCACATAAGCCATTACTAGTCTTGAAAAGGATTTGGTTTCTCAAAACATGATCATATAAAAGATTGAACTAAAAAATAGATGAGCTGGTATGGAAGAAGCTGAAATGAGGCTTTATTACTTTCCAGAGTCCATATAAAAAATCACTTGCAAACTAAAGAGTGCAAATTGACCTTTGTATACATACATATTGGTAAATCAAAATCTTTTAGGTCCACAAGCACGTTATTAAAAGACAATGACCTTTATTTCCTTTAAAATTATTGTACTCTCTAAATATTTATTCATTTATATTCTACCTCATTATGTTGTGTAGTTCATGTAAGTTCTGACCCATATATCCCATAATTTACCCCTTTTATTACCCCAATTTCGTCTAATTCATTATAAAGAAGATTTCCCCCCTATAAATAGTGGTGGTTTTACATTATGTTGATATAAGATATATATCAAGTGCATAAAAAGTGAGAAGAAAAGAGATTTTTCTTAGTTGAAGGAGTGTGTTCTTTTTGTGGAGCTTTGAACTCAACTCTTGTCAAGAATTATTGAGTTATATAGTGTTATCAAGATATTGCAACTTGGAGGTGATAAGTGTTGGGTATATAGTAAGATTAAGGAAAAATTACTTGGATGAGTGCCTTTTAAAAAGTAATTACGAATTTTAGCGATACTTTTTATTTATTACTATTTTTTACAATACATAAAAATACTATGTTAAATCTGCAATATGTATTAAAAGTGAATTATGTATGCAATATATATGTATTATAACTGTTTTTTAAAATAGATTATGTTTTTTTGGTAAGAAATTGACACATTGTATTATAAGTGTATTAAAATGTGTGATAAATGTATTATCCATCAATAAAACTTGTATTATATGTGAATAATAAATTGTTTTTTTTAATATGCATTAAAACTGTATTATAAATGTATTAAAAGTGATCAAGTGAAAAAAAAATGTTATTGCTATAAATGGTAAATATTTTTTTATTATAGTATATTATGGAGGGAAGATGAAAGGAGGGAATATGAAATGTTCTCTTGTGTTTTAGTAAAAAATAATTCTCCCTTATTGGTGATGGAAAGAAAAGTTCAAGTGTTTAAATAAAGAAACACTTCTACTAGTTGTTAGCTGAGTTAATAATAGGGACCCCCTTGCAACGTCGTCGCTCGCTCGGCATCGGCTACGACTTCAGCATCAGCATCGTCTTTGGAAATCGATCGAGAGATTATATTTTGGACAAAGTGTTATTTAATTAATTAATAAATGGTCAACACAAAACGACCAAACCCAAGGCGAATCCGCGCAACCCTTTATTTTAATGTCTTTCCCGTTTTATTTAAATCTAGGAGGAGGAGGAGGAGGAGGAGGAGGAGGAGAGGGAGGGGAAGGGCCAGGGGGGAGGAGGGGGGAGGGGGAGGGGGTTGGGTGAGGATGGGGAAAAGAAAGAAAAAAATGGAGGGAGGGGTTAGATTGAAAGATGGAAGTAGAATTTAAAATGAAACTAAAATTAAAATTAAACTAAGTAAAAAAGTAAGAGAGAAAGAGAGATAAAGAAAAAATTAAAATGAAAAAAAAATTATATTTCAAATTAAATTAGCACGTGTCACATAATGATTGGTGGGTGATAACACTTCCTTTTAAAATCTGGGACTAATAGAAAAATGGTGTAATAATATAAGTTCGAAATTGTTTAGGGGGGGTAATAAGATACTCACATAGTTAAAATTTCTTTTTGAAAATTTGTGACACCTTCCGATGTCATTTTATGTCTTTTCTCAAAATAGAGCAATACAACAGACCCACTAATTTAAATCAACACCAACCCCATAATCACAACCCTAGAAATTGGAGTTTTAGCCACCCATCACAAAAAATACAGAGATTATACCAATCATAATAGTAGCCATTGATGCAATGAAATTAAGCAATGATAATCAACTCCCACTTTGGATTCAACTTCCAATGGTTGGTTACAAGAGCAAACTGGAAAACCCCACCTCTAAGAGCAATACTCAATAGTTTCTCTTTCTAAGAGTTCCACAAGTAAAATTGATAAAAGATAAGATAGATCTATTTTCTCTCACTTCCCAACTATTCATACTTTCAAAAAAGATTCTTCCACACTCACTCAACGGATCACCGTTTGTATCATTAGTCAGGCTCGCCAAACTCACTCGGAGGATCACCATTTGTATCATTAAGCTCGCCTTTTACTAGCTTCTGGTGTTTGAACTCAAATGGGCAAACTCGATGGAATACACCATTCATGCTCAATGAATCGCCGAATATCACATTGTGCGCGCCTAAGATAACCTTCAATTTTACTCTTCAGTCTATCACTTTCGGCGATACATTTGGGTTTGCCATTAGTAATTTGGTGGATCACCCATACAACTCTTCTTCACCAATCTACTTTGAAACTTGGACTTTAAACACTGTCCACTTTGGTGAGATTCCACCATTTGGGCTATTCTCCCTTTCGATTAAGCGAACATCAGGTTAGGGCTTTCTACTCTTTTAAATGTTTTTGGCCTTTCTTTCAAATATTCGTCCTTGCGTTGTCATTTAGCCTTCATCGCTGTAAATAATCTACATAACAATTAACATTCTCACATTACATACTTTGGAAACTAACAAACCATGACCTACCTCGAATCAAGCCTTGAAAACTTTAAAGAATCCTAGCTTACCATTTTAAAATTACCTTGGCTTGTTCTTGGTCTAAATAATAATGAAAACAAAATAATCAATCAATAATGGTCTAACAATAGTACAATACCCATATTATAACCAAATCCTTAACCCCGGAAAAAATCATGATCATTCTACCCCACATGGGTTTTTTCCATCATTAATGCAAGTTTAAAACCCACTACTAAAAAACTGCCAAAAAATGACGGACAGAAAAGCGACGGACTGCGTCGCTCCAAAAAGCTACACCATTTGCCACACTGTCCGTCGCTTTTTAATAAAAATAATTATTTTTAAAATTATTTTACAAAAAGCGACGGACGGCAACTCTTAGTCCATCGCTTTTTTTGCGGATTTTTGCACTAAATATATATATATATATATATATATATATATATATATATATATATATAATTAATAATTATTTATTTAATATATATAGAGACGACGTCCATTGCTTTTTAATAAAAATAATTATTTATAAATTAAAAAATAGCCACGTTGTCCGTCGCTTATAATTTATTTTATTTTATTAATTAGTTTTTAAAAAAAGGGACGGACGGCATCTCTTAGTCCGTCGCTTTTTGGTCAAAATATCTAGTCAAACATTTTTAATAAGTGACGGACAGTGTCTCTTAGTCCGACGCTTTTTAGTCAAAATTTTGGTCAAATATTTTTAAAAAAGCGACGGACAAAGAGACGTTGTCCGTCACTTTTTTTAAATTATGTTGAACCAAAAAATGGGTTTTCCCCCCATTTTCCCATCTCTCTTTCTCTCTTCTCTCCCTTCTCTCTAAAACCAAACTGTTGCGCCACCGCCGCTGCCCCACGCCACCCCACGCCGTCGTCGCCCTTCTCTCCTTGAGCATTAGTCCCGTTGCTGCCTTGCCCCGTCGACGCCGCCACCCGTCGTGCCCACTGCTAGGGCTGGGCATTCGGTTTTGGTTTTTTTTTTTCGGTTTTCGGTTCTTGTACAACGTGTACCGAACACCGAACCAAAATAATTCGATTCGATTCGGTTTTTATTATTTCGGTTCGATTTATGTTATTTCGGTTCGATTTTTGTTAGTTCGGTTTTTTTGTTATGGGCCTACTTAGTGGGCTTTTAAAAATTTTGTAATTTTTTTGTTTATTTTATTTATATTTATTTCTTTTTGCTTTTTTTACTCTGTTTTTTAAATTATTGTATGATTCAAAGTAGTACTAACTACTAAACTGCCGTTATCATTGAAATTTGCCCTTGTTAATAAATTATAATTAAAATATTACTAAAGTCTAAAAGCCAATAAATTATAAATTTAAATTAAATACTACTAAAAAAGCCTTGTGAGTAGTTTCAACTTCCAAGCTCCACACTTGTCGTTATCATTGTTCCTTTTTTTCTTTCAAAAAGTTCCACACAATTACACAAATAGGCAACGAGCTGTGATACAATTCTCTTTAACATTATTATAAAATACCATAATTTTACTCAATGAATGTAGAGCAACTCAATTAAACTATCAACCTTTAATTTCTTGAATACAAGGAAACATTTAAATCCATTTTTATCCCCCTCAAAAATCAAATCAAAATGAAAGAATCCTCAGAATAATACGAAATGATGTGACAATTTTAGGCCAAAAAGGCACTATCAAATAGGCCAAAAGGCACTAACAAGTAACAAGTAACAATTTAACAAGTAATTAAATTCACTACACTTCACAAATACAATAATCAATTGATCATGCCATTACACAACAACATAATAACAATCTAACAAGTAACAATAATGCACCAATGTAGTTTTCATGAGACCACTTTCAAGTTTCAAGTGCCAACAATAACAAACAACAATAATGAACAACAACCAATGTAGCCTCTTCCATGAGACCACCCTCAAGTTTCAAGTGTCAACAATAATGAGCAACAAACAATGTAGCCTCTTCCATGAGACCACCTTCAAGTTTCAAGTGTCAACAATAACAAACAACAATAATGAGCAACAAACAATGTAGCATCTTCCATGAGATCACCTTCAAGTTTCAAGTGTCAACAATAACAAACAACAATAATGAGCAACAAACAATGTAGCCTCTTCCATGAGACCACCTTCAAGTTTCAAGTGTCAACAATAACAAACAACAATAATGAGCAACAAACAATGTAGCCTCTTCCATGAGACCACCTTCAAGTTTCAAGTGTCAACAATAACAAACAACAATAATGAGCAACAAACAATGTAGCCTCTTCCATGAGACCACCTTCAAGTTTCAAGTGTCAACAATAACAAACAACAATAATGAACAACAAACAATGTAGCCTCTTCCATGAGACCACTTTCAAGTTTCAAGTGTCAACAATAACAAACAACAATAATGAGCAACAAACAATGTAGCCTCTTCCATGAGACCACCTTCAAGTTTCAAGTGCCAACAATAACAAACAACAATAATGAACAATAAACAATGTAGCCTCTTCCATGAGACCACTTTCAAGTTTCAAGTGCCAACAATAACAAATAACAATAATGAACAACAATGTAGTTTCTTGACTTTCTTCCATGAGACCACTTTCAAGTCTCAAGTGCCAACAAAATTACCAAAACACTAACAAAACTTGGTACTTTACACCTTTCTTCATTGTCTTGACTCTTGGACCTTTTAAAATAAAATTAAATGTTAGAATACTACTTTTAAGATTAAAAAAAATGATATGATTAAATAAATGACGTATTAAACTCACCACTATTAAATACTTGAGACTTGCAAGCCAATCATAGATCAACAATGGAAGAGTTTCTTCCACTATTTGCGATCTCTATAAATAAGAAAATCAAATATGTTATACAACACAATAAGTATTTTATTTTTTTCCAAAAACAAATAAAAAATAAAAAGTCTTACCAAGTTCAATTTTTTCAAGAAACTCCAAACTTTCTTCAACACAAATAGGCTTAGTTTCTTGTATAAGTTAATCTTGAACACAAATAAGGCATTGCACACATTTGGGAGTCAATGAACTTCTAAAGGGATCAAGAATACGATCACCCGTGCTAAATGCACATTCCGATGCCACACTTGACATAGGAATAGCCAATACATCTCGAGCCAATTGTGAAAGTATAGGAAATCTAGGAGAATTAACTTTCCACCAAATCAAAATATCAAAATCCTCAGATTCAGGCTTTTGGTCTTCAAGAAGATATCTATCCAACTCAGATTTAACACCTAAACTTCCAGAATCTTCCTTTTGTTTCTTCATGTAAAACTTAGTTCTCAAAGAATTTGTTTTCACATTTTGAGAAAGACCATAAGTAGATGAGTCAGATGAAGATGATTGATTTTTAGAACCTTTTGCATACTTACTTACATAGATCGCAAACAAATTCTTCAAGTAAGCATTTACTTCATTATTCACTATCTTTCCCTTTCCTTCCCCAAATAATTCTTCAAGAGCAAAACTAACATACATAAATTTATTGTGAGGATCCAAAACAGAAGCAATAAAAGGCATTTTGTTCATCTTTTCAGGAGTACCCCAATATTTCTTGAACTTTTCTTTCATCCCCAAAGCCATTTTACTCAAATCAACATCATCACTTGTCATACATACTTTCAAATATGCATCAAGCTCACATATATCCTCAAAATGAACATTACAAGTAACATACCATAAACCTGAAGCTTTCAATGTGAGCTCATAAAATTTTTCAAGAAACTTTGTGATATTCCTCACATTAGCCCAATCTTCATATTGAATTGAACCTGCAATACTTCCATCTTCACAAACACCAGTAGCAAGAAAAGAATTAAAATTACCATCATAAAGATCAAGCCTCTCAAAGGCCTTTTCAAACTTTTCTGCCGTGTCCAACATCAAATAGGTTGAATTCCACCTAGTAGGCACATCCAAAGACAACATTTTATCACATTCTATCTTTTGCATTTCAACACATTTCAAGAAGTTTCTTGTCCTTGTAGAAGATGATCTAATATATTTCACCATTTGTCTCACCCATTTGATAGAAGGACCAATTTCTTTCAAACCATCTTGTACAATTAAATTAAGTATGTGAGCCATACATCTCACATGAAGATGCTTACCTTTTATCATATTAGTTCCCCACATATCTAATTTTTTGAACAACTCTAAAACTGCCACATCATTTGAAGAGGCATTATCAACCGTAACAGTAAAGACATTGTCCAAGTTCCAATCAAGTAAACAATTACTAATACACTCAACCAAATGCTCACCTTTATGACTAGTGATAGGAAAAAACTTCAATATTCTTTTATGAAGCACCCAATCCCAATCAATAAAGTGAGCAGTCAAACACATATAATTGATTCTTTGCACCGAGGTCCATGTGTCTGTTGTGAGATAAATTCTTGGTTGTATTTCTCTAAAAGACATTTTCAAATTCATTCTCAATTCACCATAAACTTCATAAGAATCCCTTGTTATGGTTCTACGAGAAGGAATCCGAAACAAAGGTTGCACTTTACTCATAAACTTCTTAAAGCCTTCTTTTTTAACAAAACTAAAAGGTAGTTCATCCAAAATTATCATCTCAACTAAAGCTCTCCTACATACCTCTTGCTCAAATTTCCAAGTCGCTATCGAAGAACTGTTACTTTGAATATTTAACAATTTTTGAATGCCAGGTGCAACAGGCAGGACCTTATACACTTTACATCGATTAGTCAAATGTTGTCTCAGTCCACTTGTTCCATTTCTAGCTGTATTAGCATCATAGTTTTGTTTACAATGTAAACACTTTGCTTTAACTAATAAACCATTTTCAATTTTTTTTTTCAAAGTGTTGCCAAACAGTAGACCTAGGATCCATTTCTTTTCTCTTTCTTGTTTCCTCTGTGCCAATTGAGGCATCATTGCTATTACTAGGTGTATTATCTGTAGAACCAACCATACTTATTCGACTTTGATCAACCACACCCACATTTGATTGATTTGGTTCAGCCAACTATATAATAATAAAATTATTTCACAATGAATTCACACTTAGAATATTAAGGAGCAAAGAAGGAAAATAAAATGATAATTGGCTGCATTTTTTCATGGTTTCTTTTTCTTTATTACTTTTGCTCTTTTTTTTTTGGTCTGAGATTTGACCCTTTGCTGGAAAATACAATTATACAAATGAGAAAATCAAAATAAAAAATAGAGTTTAAATATAAAAATTAAAAATATACGAATCTGAAATCTTTATTAGTTTATTTTAATGGATAGACCAAAATCCAAATGCTAAATATTCTCCACTAATTGACAAAATGCAGGTCAAAAACTTAAAATTATTTTTATATATTTATAAGGAAAAAAAAACCTGAAAGCTGATGGTTGTCACCTGTCAGTCACCGGCTGTTGCACGGAGAGGTCGGCTGTTGTGCGTGCTGCTGCCTGCGCCCTGCTGGTCGATTGGGACTGGTGGCTGGCGGCTGCTACTGCTGTGCGTGCTGCTGGTCGACAGGACTGACGGCTACTGCTGGTTGATGCCAGTCGCCGGAAGCGGAACTGTGCCAAAGTGGGAAAGACAAGGGAACTCGGAAGTCGGAAGTCGGAAGTGGAACTGTGCGACGTGCGTAGTGATAGAACTTAAGAAGAAGTGCAGCTGCTGTTAGAACTTAGAAAGTTAGAAAAGTAAAAACTAAAAAAATTGAAAAGACCAAAAGCCAAAAGGTGTACTATTGTAGTAAGACTTTTGACCTAATTTAATTAAAATTATAATATTTATTATTTGATATAATATATTTTGGTAAACCAAAATACCGAATAACACAAAAAATACATACCGAAAACCGAACCGAAATACCAAAAAATACAAAAACATACACCGAATACCGAACTGAAAACCAAAATACCGAAACCGAAATAGTTCGGTTCGGTTCGGTATTTCGGTTTTACGGTGTTTTTGCCCAGCCCTACCCACTGCCTCTTTTCCTGAGCTTGTTAAGGTTAAGGTTTAATTATTTTTTTCAATTCTAGTAATATTTGATTTGTTATAAATTAGTATATTATTTTAGTTTGATGAATTGTGTTATTCAATTGTTAATTTGTATATTTGATTATTGTTAGTTAGGTAGAGAATTAGGGATTTTTTATTTTAGGGTTTTTTTCTAAATTAGGGTTTTTAAAAAAAATATGATTGTGAATTGAGTATTAGAAGATAGAACTAACAAATAATTAGAAGTTAGAAGTTATAAAGTTAGAAGTTAGATTAGTTGCATTTTTCAACTTTGAAATTCTAGAATTTAGTATGTTTGACGGTAGAAGTTAGAAAAACATTCAATTGTATATGAAAGTTAGATTACTTTGAAGTTAGAAAAATATTGGATAGTATATGAAAGTAGAAATTAGATTAGTCGAATTTTCCAACTTAGAAGTTCTTGAATTTAGTAAGTTTGAAAGTTGAAGTTAGAAAAATTGGGGATTTTTAAATATGATTGTAAATTAAGTATTAGAAGTTAAAACTAACAAATACTTAGAAGCTAGCTAGAAGTTAGAGATTAGTGAATTTTTCAATTTGCCATTGTATTTGTGCTTGTATGTATTATATTGTTGTTGAAAATTGGGTTACTTGAATTATATTCTTGAACTTAGAAATTCTTGAACTTGGAAATTCTAGAACTTAGAAATTCTAGAAATTAGATATGAACTTGAATTTTTGTAGGATTTTAGAACTTTAATTAGGTTGTGAACTTTAGAAATCTTGAATTATTGTAGGATTTTAGAACTTTAGGTTGTAAACTTTAGAAATCTTGAATTATTGTGGGATTTTAGAACTTTAAGTTGTGAACTTTAGAAGTATTGAATTATTGTAGGATTTTAAACTTTAGGTTGTGTTAGAAATCTTGAATTATTGTAGGATTTTAGAAATTTAGGTTGTGAACTTTAGAAATCTTGAATTATTGTGGGATTTTAGAACTTTAAGTTGTGAACTTTAGAAATCTTGAATTATTGTAGGATTTTAAACTTTAGGTTGTGAACTTTAGAAACCTTGAATTATTGTATTTAGAACTTTATAAGATTGTAAACGTTAACAATCTTGAATTATTGTAGGATTTTAGAACCTTAGGTTGTGAACTTTAGAAATCTTGAATTATTGTAGGATTTTAGAACTTAAAGTTGTGAACTTTAGAGAACTTGAATTTTTGTAGGATTTTAGAAATTTATAAGATTGTGAACGTTAGAAATCTTGAATTATTGTAGGATTTTACAACTTTAAGTTGTGAACTTTAGAGAACTTGAATTTTTGTAGGATTTTAGAACTTTAGGTTGTGAAATGTTAGAAATCTTGAATTATTGTAAAATTTTAGAACTTTAAGTTATGAATTTTAGAAAACTTGAATTTTTGTAGGATTTTAGAACTTTAAGTTGTGAAATTTAGAGAACTTGAATTATTGTGTGATTTTAGAACTTTAGGTTGTGAACTTTAGAAATCTTGAATTATTTTAGAATTTTAGAATTTTAGGTTGTGAACTTTAGAAATCTTGAATTATTGTGGGATTTTAGAACTTTAAGTTGTGAACTTTTGAAA